TGCTTGTCTGTTAGCACGGTAACCTAAAAATATCAAACGAATTAATACGAAATTTTTTAGGTCTAATAGTAATAGGTCGAGAACAAATCGATTAAATTTTGGTTTAATTTGGACGAAGATCAGTATAAGAAATTCATAAAAAGTTGTTTTACTCTGCCGGGCAGAGGAAACTGAATGCGTAATTAGCCCACTGTACAATTTATACATAATATTTGATTTAATTCGCTGGCGAAGGTATACAATTTTATAATATGGCGCAACAAGTAATTTTCACAAAAGGTATAACAAAGAATAATTTTTAACAGTGGTGTAATATAATGTTTGATAAATAAAATGTAAATTAATAAAAGCAAAACAAAACTTTTGCGCATCTCACATCTAAAATTTTGAATAAAAATTTTGTTAATGTTTTCCGGTTATACGGCCATTCGCTCCACAAATTTTCCTATATATCTGTTTGATTCACCTGAAAAGCACGCACATACCCCCCCCCCCCACCAGACACACACACTGAGATGAGAATATGACCTTCTTGCGATCCTGAAGTGGAAGTCTGATCAATTGTCATCCTCTGCTAATAAACGTGGATCTAAGGGGCCGAACTCAGCCCTTTTAACTGGGTTGAAATTTTTTGCGATTACATGGACGATTTCAACCCCGGGGTTAAAACGTTATACAAAACGTTCTCGGCATCGATTCGCGGAAGTAAAAAAGCCTTTATTTTGTTTTCTTCTAATAAATAGTCACTACCACACATGCTTGAATAACTCATTTCAGCCCTGGGTTGAAACGATTACATGACAAAATTTTCAACCCAGGGCTGAGTTCAGCCCTGGGTTGAAAATTTTGTCATGTAATCGCGCGTTAACGTTTGATTTTGATAGAGTTTTGTATTACAGACAGGGCTGAAATTTCAACCCGGTAAACAGGCTAGGGCTGAGTTCAACCCCGGGGTTGAAAATGCTCCATGTAATCGGCCCCTAAATGGGTTAAAGTTAGACAATACATTTCTAATGGTTTGAATAACGAAAATTATTAAAATTTGCATTGTATGACCTGTCGCGATGGGTAGCTCGCCACTGCTTTGGCGCACGTGGGATGCTGAGGCCTTTGCTCCAAAACAGCTAGAATGGGACAAGGGAAAAGAAGGTCATATTTAAAAGTTGTTTTATATTAAACGAAGCCGCATAAACGTCATCTTGCCAGAACAAGCTTCGCATGTTGGAATCTGTATTGTATATATGCAAGGAAGTTTCTCTACAGGGAAGTATATTTAATCATTGATGGTCATTGGTGACTAATTCACAATGATTCGTAGTCAATTTTGAATTGGTCATGGACAAGCAATGTCGGTTTCGAGAGAGCATACTTTTCTTGCTCTCTGCTTTCGCTAGAATTCGATTTACCATGTTCATGTTTCGCATGTCAGAAAAGGCACTATTTTGCAGTATTACTATGGTATAATTTACTAAACGTTCCTACGTATTTTGTATATCAGAAGTGTAGCGTGATAACACTCGAGACACTGGTTTCAATGTTTGGTATTTAATTTACAGATTCAACATCACGCAAAGCTGACTTACAACATAACTAACTAGATTACAGATTTACCCCTACATTTATATTTATTTACCTATTTCTAACATATCAATCACTATCATGCACGGTTAATTACAAGGAATTCTACTGATTGTTTCTCATCAATCAACTGTCCACTAATACGTTACAGAAGGAATGTTGTGTAATCGCGTGTTGCTTATTTTATGACCATGCTTTTTTAGGCCATGGCCCAGTTTAGTGTGCAGTATTGCACACTTCGTGCAGCATTGAATTTGAAAGCGTGTAGTATTAAATGTTAGCGTGTAGTATTGGATGTAAGTGTGAGGTATATGGTATTGAATGTGAAAGCGTCCAGTCCCCGAGCCAACGGCGCGTTCCGGGCGTTAGCCCGAGGCGAGGGTACTAATTCCGTCTGGCTATTTACACCTGGGGAAAGGAAAGGATTGGCGAAGTCTAAAGTTCATCAATAATCGCGGGCGCGTGACTATAGTTCCTGGGTGGACCTAACTGATCTAAAATATAGCTGTTTGCCAGGAGTGGGATAAGCAAAATTTCAAACTTCAAAAACACTTATTTGGAAAATTACTTATTTGGAAAATTACGTTTCACACAATGAGCTTTGAAGCAATTTCTGTTTGAAGAAATGAGAAGAATTGATTTACCATGGGAAATCGTGAAATATAGGCAAGTTTTCTTTGAATGTTTACTGTTTAATGAATGAAGTTTGCTGCTTTAATTTCTTGCGTAAAACATTGCAGCTTTCCTTTTAATTTTCAATGAAGATCTATAAGTTTCCTACTTTACTCTGTCTAATTTAAGAAAAAAGGTAAAATGTAAAGGAGAGCAAATTAATTTGGAGACCTAACTGAAATTACTCAACAATTTGAACTTATTTTGTTTTTATATTAAGCTAGTAAAAACATTTTATCGGCAAAAGCAGTTTAGTTCAATGAACATTTCAAAACATTTTACGGAGCGTTTCAGGTGAAATTTTACATTAAAGTGGCTCAATACAGTTTTTAAAAAACGGAAAATTCACGATTTAGAGTTTGAATTTTTGCACAAAAGTTACGCAACTGCCGTTGCTAGGTAAACAATGACGTTTCAAGATGGCGAATATTTTGGTAATTTAAAGTAATTTAATCCGTAAACGACATCGGTGACCTCCAAATTTTATTAAAAAAAAAATTTCTCTTAGTATATTTAATTATATTGACAATTAAAAAAAAATTCTGTTAGATAAAGTTACGTAAAGGTGATTATTCATAATAATTTTTTTTGGCTGAATAGAATTTTTTTAAATTGTCGAAATAATTGATCATACTAAGTGAAATCATTTTTTAAATAAAATTTGTGGGCCACCGATGTCGTTTACGAGTTAAATTACTTTAAAGCCAAAATATTCGCCAACCTGAAACGTAATTGTTGCCATAGCAACGGTAGTCGCGCAACTTTTGTGCAAGAATTCAAACTCTTTAGATGTTGTTGATCAACAAGTAATAATCGTAAAAAAATACGCATCTAAATCGTGAATTTTCCATTTTTTAAAAACTGTATTGAGCCACATTAAATCAAAGCTCACAAAATGCAAAATAACATACCCATATTTCAGAAATTTATTGTTGTATACTTAAAGTAGTAGTCTTTCCAACTATTTTTCCGCTTTGTACAAAAAATATACAAAAATTAGAATTTAAAAATATCGTGTAATCGTGTTGTCATGGCAACAAATGACGCCACAACGGGATCCTGCGTTCAGTGTTGGCCAATGAGCCAATTGCGGAATGCGCAAAGCATCATGGTAGTTTAGTTACATAGCCGCATTTTCCATCCTGGCGCTTGCTTTCTTCGAAGTAGAGTAGATGGTGAAGAAGTGAAAATTTAAAGAAAATTTGTATCATTTTCACTTCGATTAAAGGTTTGCCAAATCTGTAAGTCTGTCTTCTGTTCTGTCTTTGGTTTCTCCAAGCGAATGGTTTTGAAATTTTTAACTGGCGTACAGCATTGCTGAACCGTGAAAGGGCTTCGATTCGATATGGTCAGATACGAATTGTGGTATTTTTCACATTGTAAAGGTGAGTACTTGGTTAAATTACTTCTTGGACCTCGCATTTGTAGGGTGTCCGGAGGTATCTTCCCCCGGGAAATTTTGAAATCTAGGACCTCGGAAACGTTTCAAGATACAACTTCGAGCGAGACAAGGAATATGAAAAGATGTACACCACACACGCATGTAGAATTATATCGTGCTGTACAAATGACACAAATCCATTCCATCGGAAGACATGCTTCTTCTCAGTTAAGACCACTACGAAGGAAATACCAAATCCAGTCCAGGTGAAACAGATCTTGGAATCCGATTTCTCGGAAGGAAAAACTAACGAATAGCCGATATCGCAAGATGATAGAAAATTCATACGTAAGGTAGAGCAAGGAATTCGTCGTCAGACACTACGAAATGCCTTTACCGTTTCGCGAAGAAGAACCGAATATGCCTAACAACAAGACTCTTGCATTACAACAATTAGCCAAACTCAAAACCCGGCTCGAGAATAACGAACAGTATCCGAAGGACTACGTTGCTTTCATGAATGATTTAGTATCGATAAAATACACGGAAAGAGTTCCTAAAGAAGGGCTTTCAAATGACGATGGTCGCACAAGGTACATTCCGCACCATGGGGTGAATCACCCGAAGAAAGCCACAAAGATACATGTAGTATTCGACTGTAGTGCCAAGTATAAGGGCGAGTCACTAAACGATCACCTACTACAGGGCCCTGACCTTACCAACCAACTCATCGGCGTGCTGTGTCGATTTCGCCAAAGTCCAATTGCGTTTATGTGTGACGTGGAATCAATGTTTCACCACTTCAACGTCATCGCGGCCCACCAAAATTTCCTGCGATTCCTTTGGTGGGAAAACGGAGATACAACCAACCCCCCAGTAGAATTTAGAATGAAGGTCCACCTATTTGGAGCCGGATCATCTCCAGGATGTGCGAATTACGGCTTAAAGCAGATAGCCAACGACTACGAAGAAGAATTCGGCACGGAAGCAACGAACTTTGTTCGAGACGATTTCTACGTTGATGACGGCTTGAAGTCAGTAGACTCAGTCTCGGAAGCCGTTTCGCTGAGAAAGAAACCATAGACCGATGCGCCCGAGGTAGATTACGTCTTCTCAAGTTTGTTTCGAACTCGAAGCGAATAATAGAGAAGATCCCGCCCAATGATAGAGCCTCCGGAATAAAGATTCTCGACCTTCGCAAGGACAACCTGCCAATAGAACGAGCACTAGGCGTAGAATGGTGCATCGAGTCCGACTCCTTCCAGCTAAGAGTAAGCCTGCAAAACAAACCTCCTACCCGCCGCGGAATCCTCTCCACTGTAAGATCCATCTTCGACCCGATGGGATTCAATTTGTACGTACAGGAGTTATGTCGCGACGGAATCTAATATGCGAGCTGGAAAATCTTGGTGTACATCCTGCCATAGTGAGGTGGATAAAAGCTTTTCTTAGCAATCGTGAACAGTGTGTGCGAATTGAAAACTCATACTCGTCGTGGAAGAAAACAAACGGTGGTCTACCACAAGGAACAAAACTAGGACCGCTACTTTTTGCAGTCCTTGTAAATTCTTTGCTCAAGGATTGGCCTGGGAGAGTCAAATTTGTCGATGATACTACGGTCTTAATTGGAAATAATTCCACGATGTTCACCCAGCTTCCTACCAATTATCGTGGACCAAATATCCGATTATGCAAACGAACGAGGAATGAGACTAAATCCAAAGAAAAGCAAAGATATAGTTATTACGTTTCTTAAGTATAAACTAGTAGACAATGACATTTTTCAATCCTCGCTGGCTGTCCGGACCAACGTTTCTATGGAATCCCGAGATCAACACATCCACCACCGAAAGTCCGCCCCTCTCGGAAGACGATCCCGAAGTTAAGAAAGTAAAATCACTCGCCACGCAAGGAACGACCGAAAACGTGTCAACGATTCTCCAGCGACTTGAATACTTCTCCCATTGGCACCGCGCGAAAAGATCCATCGCAGTTTGCCTGAAGCTCCGAAAACGTCTGAGAAGTCATACGACAGATCGAGAACAAAATGCGTTTGGATCCGCCAATACCACGCAGTCATTCACTTTAACGTTTCGCGATTCGGCATTCCACTTTTTTCTTGGAACCGGCTGTGGTAGTACGTTCCTCGACCACTTTTTCCAGAAGGCTTCGAGAATTCGTTGGTAAAATTCAAATCTACGATGTGGGTTTTCCGTTTGTCGGAATGGACCTTGAGGGATTGTACTGGTTGCACTAGCAAGTAGGATATCGTTAGGGCACAAGTAGGAACCATCGTCGGGGTCCGTTGGAGTGCGACCGATGGGTCTTTGGTTAACTAAATTGGTAATCTCTAACAGACAAGTGTATAGCTCGAATGGTGCAAGAACTGCATCATCACCTATAGCTTTCTTGAGGGCTGTTTTGATTGTCTTAACCCTATTTGTACTGGGGGTGCGCACAACGAGCGCACCCCTATTATTATTTATCCGTCATTCCCGAACAAATGATCCCATTTGCATGTGCTTTCATGACTTTTAATATTTTTCCTCTGCCGTCATGACTACGAAAAAATTTTCTGAAAATTCAAAGTTATCCGGACGTTTGCCGACATTTGTTAAACAAGGTGTCGGGGCCAAAAATGGGAAAATGTGGGTTGGACAGTATTTTTTGGCTGAATCACTTCCCAGGACATAAATAGCATAATACAATTAGAGAACATATAAAGATGGATTATTACACATGATTTGCAATGTAAATATCCATAATATATTATTATAAAATAGTAAAATATAGTATAACATATATAGCATACTATACAATACTTATATAATATAAAATACTTATTTATACTATTTTTATAGATTCAAATACACATATTTCTTTGTACCTTCAAGGCATAACATCTCCCTGTCTTTGAGCAAGCACCAAACGTGTAGGGTGCATTATATGTTGAACACTTTCGTACAAGAAATTTGCCAATTTAGAGTAAAATCTTTTGCATAAAATCCAGACAGATTGTTATGATTTTCAAAGTGAATATTGTGTTTTCAAAACTATACTGCAAAGCTCATAGCTCACCTGCCTTACACTTCATGTAACACATGGTATATTGGTATAAAACATGGTTGCAATTTCTTATTTTTTCTACAAACTTTTGTCAGGCGACTTCAGTATGATGTTTTATGTTTATACTAAAGAAGTTATGCCAACAAAAAGTGCTATGGTTTCAACAGAACGCACAATTGCGAATATATTATGCGATTTATGGAACATTATTGCAACAATGACACTGTCACAGTGATATGAAGGTAAAATCAGTGATGTTGAAACTTGAAAATGATTTGGATTGTTTTCAGTTACGAAAGTATATCTAAATAGTATAAAAATAGTATAAAAATAGTTCAATTTGCACCCCAGGTAATTATAGATACTAGTTACGTCAAATGGAGAGATAATGAGCATTTTTGCTGTAAAACGCAGATAAAGTATATATCATTTTGGACTTGTGTAAAAGTGTCAATTATCTGTCCATTAGGCAAGATAAACGATGTGTCAAACTGTCAAAGTTGGACGATAACCTTGCATGGTGGGCTGTTGTGTTTACGTAATTTAAAGTCCAAGGCTGGTTCTTCTCTGACATGAAAATGTGCATGCTTAGGGCCTTTCTGTCAATCATTCTTAGGTATATTTCGTGCGGTTGAGTAATGATAACATTACGTCATCAAAATTTTGGTTCGATAAAATTGAAGTAAATTTAGTTTAGTTGATAAAGTAAGGTTCACATAGGTATAGGTTGAAGTTTTTACTATGATATTTCAATAAGTATTTTAAGTTGTGAACATGTTTTAATGACGATCGATTGAACAGCGAACCGACTGGACCAGTGCGACAACGCCTTAAATAAACAGAATGTGAGAGCTGGAACGAGCTACCAACGCCAACCCACACTTTTAAACCTCAAAGGTGATTGGCTGGATACAAATCACACCACTTGCTACATCACGTGTACAAAGATCCCTCAACCGTTAGTATAAAAGGGCGTGCACAACCCAAATTCGTCAGTGGACGTACGCTGAATAAAGCTTAAATGATGAAGCTACTGAAACTCAAACGAAACTAGACAACGACAAAGAAAAAAACGAACAGTGAACAAACGAAAGAGGCTGAAGAAAGAAGATAACTTTGAAAAGGAACGATTTTAATATTAACATTATATTGACACTAATTAGAAACATTGTAAACGATTCCCTACCTCGCGTAGAAAACGAAATAAAATATACATTTCTTAACAGTTTATATGAGAGACAGGTAAGTTTCATGAACTAGTATTCCAAAGGTCGTAGGTTCGAATCCCGCCGTGGCCAGGCATATTTTTCAAGCCTGCCCGGTGTGGATATACACTCAGAGTAACATCGCACAAACAAGGTAAGTTTCAGTTGTGTGTCTTTTTATATGGTGCAGAAATGCCAACTTGGAAAGTAAAATAGTGGTGTTTATGGACATCTGAGATATGCGATAACATAAAAGTATGTCTTTTGAATGTAAGAGACTAAAAAATATCACATCCAAAATGTTTTGTTATCTCTTTACAAAATATAACCAAAATGGGTAAAATATTTTTTGATTCCATTTTTTGATGCCTATCAATATTCAATGGGGTCAAAAAACAGCATTTTGGATGTAAATTTAACTTTTTTGTTATTTTTAGGTTAAAAAAAGATAAAACTTACTAAAAATAAAACTTATTGGATAATGCCAGTTAATCGACAGAATTTCTGAGGGGTGCGCCCTATCAGCGCAACCCCGGTCATATCAACATGAAAAAACCTCGGTACAAATAGGGTTAACCATAGCTTCCGTGGCACCATTCTGATGAATAGCAAGAGGGATAGTAAATTGCCATTTTATGCTGCGTTCTGCACAGAATTCTTTCAACTGCTTTACATTCCATACTTTGATCATCAGGCGTAACTCGTTTTCAGCTCCTACCACTTGAGTGCCATTGTCGGACAGGATGAACTTAGGATAACCTCGATAAGAGAAGAATCGTCGTAATACTTGAACAAGTTCCATAGCACTAGCATCTACAGCAAGTTCACAGTGGATAGATATGATTGGGTATCGAGAAAAGTGAATACAACACCATAATGTTTACATGTCTTGTTTCGACCGACTTTCACTTTTACTTTCAATGGGCCGAAATAATCCAATGACAAGTAGAGGAATGGTGGTGTGTGTGGCTGTAGACGAAACGTGGGCAAATTTGCCATCAACTGCGTTTTCACTTTCGCTTCAATTTCGCGGCAAACTGTGCAACGACTCTTGATGACCTATGCAATTCTGTGGGCTTTGATGATCCAATACTTGGATCATCTGGTTTTGGCCACCGTGGCTGCGACACCGTTAGGACCAACTTGATGAACATCACGTATGATGACCTTTTTTCTGACCTTATTTGACTGTAATAGGGCAATAACATTTTTTTCGTTCATTGTCGTAGGAAACAAGTGACGGAACTAAGCGACCTCCAACTCGAATTAACTTCTTGTTATCGACGTAAGGCGAGAGTGTTTTGAAATATCCTTTCTTCATTATTTGAAAGAGGCTTGATTGCGCTTGTTTGAACCAGTATTCTTCTGCGGCTTAATTGGAGCTCTTCGCTAGTTAAAGGTCCCAATTCCGGTTCTCGTCGTTATGCTTCACACGTAAATTACGGCAGAATCTCTGGATATAGGCAGTAACTCTAACAATTCGTTTCCACTTGGCATAGCGCTGACAATCAAATATTGGATGTGCGACGGTTACAGGGCAGGTGACGATAACTTTTCTTCTCTCTTTGTTAACTTCTTGCGTGTCCGGTATATCCATTTCCATTGGCCATTGTTCCTCTGGTAGCGTTAAGAAAGATGGACCGTTAAACCATCTATAGTTGAGCTCTTTCGGTGTGATACCTTTAGTCAAGTCATCAGCAACATTTTCAGCCGTGGGACAATGATACCAATCTGCGGGGTTACAATTCGACTGGACTCGGCACGACACAGATGGTTTGTAGGAACGTGGAATTCCTTGGATATAGGCTAAGGTTACTCGGCTGTCAGAAAAGAACATTGTTCTTAGAATTTTCAGTCTCTTTTCCTCTTGAATTGACTTCGCTAGACGACTCGCTAGTACACCAGCTTGCAACTCCAGACGAGGGATCGTTAACTCCTTTAAGGGCGCAACTCGAGACTTTGCTGCTGCAAACCGAACTCCAAATTTTCCATCTGTCAATTTCCATCTAACATAGGTACACGCTCTAAAGGCTTTCGGGATGCATCACAGAATGTGATCAGATCTGGATTAAGTATTGCACCTGCTGGAGTGAGGCATCGTTGAAATCGAACGTTGTTAAGTGCAGCCATTTCATTAAACAACAATGTCCATTTTTTCTTGAGATCAGATGGTATATCTTCATCCCAACTTAGACCGTGCTGCCAAAGCTCTTGCCTACCGATCTTCGCTTTCATCAAAGTGGCTGCTCCGGCTCCAATGAGATACAAAATGCCAGCTAACTTTCTGAGGATAATAGGTTTTGTCATTTTGGACGGCTTTGTAGACGTAGGCGTTGCTTCATTAGATAATGCGCTGGGATACTCGATCTTTACTGCAAACGAGAAATGATCTTGCTTTGGATGCCAAACAGTTCCGAGAACTTTTTGCACATTGCCTTCTTCATTTGCTTCTAGTACTATTTCATATCTGCTTTCTTTATCAGTCAATGGTGCGTTGGATATCCACTCTTTTATGCGAAAACCACCAGCATCGAGAACTTCGTCGATATTCGAAATCAGCTCTTTAGCTTCTTCCACAGAAGCTTGTGAATCACATACATTATCCACGTAGGTATTTTCTTCAATTGCTTCAGCTGCCTTTGGTTTGCTATCTTCTTTCAGTTCGGCTGTTTTGTGCATTGCTACTGTTGCCATAGCTGGGGATGGACGATCTCCAAAGGTCAAAACAGTTTTAACATACACGTCTGTTTCTCTATCTGTTTCCATATTGCGCCATAGGAACCGATGGACATGCTGATCTGAAAGTGGGATTGCAATTCTGTGATACATTTTGGATATGTCACCAACAGCTGCTACTTCTTTTTCTCGAAATCGTAGCACTACTACCAAGAGATTGTTAAGCATGTACGGTCCTTTGTACCAATACTCATTTAAGCTGTGGCCATTGTATGACGCAGAGCTGTTGAAGACAATTCTAACTGGAGTGCTTTTCTTTTCTGGGCGGACAACAGCATGGTGATCAACGTAATGGACGGGTACTTTCCATTCTTCAATTTCATCTTTCGTCAATTTCCGAGCGAATTGCATCCTTTCCATTTCTTGCATCTGCTCATTATAACTTTTGGCATGAGCAGGCTGTTTATTGAGCCGACGTTCAGTGGACTCCATCTTCTTCAATACTTGTGAATAATTATCTGGTAACAGTTCGGGACTTTTCTTTCATGGGTAACTCATAGTCCATTCCTTCCAAATTACACGACTCTTCAATCAGTTTTAATCTCTTTTGTTCTTCTGCTGTCATTTTGTTGGGCGGGCAATTGCATGGAGAAATTGATACTCCCATCGACTCGGTTGTCCAAAACTCCGTGAGATCTATTGGTGCGGCTAGACGGAATTCATGACTTGATTTGCTTTCGGCTGTGTCTGCTCGTTATCTGCTCCAAATGCTACCCAACCAAGAGGACTTTTTCTGACCTGAGGACTTTCAACCAACTGCGATCTTCATTAAGGCGCAAGTGGGCAATGCTGAGCCAAGGTGTTTGATGGACACTGGGGCATCTGTGTTCCTAATTAGCAGAGAATTTGTTGTTGGACCTTTGAGACCTTGTTCTCTAAAGGCACTGGGTATAAGTGGAGAACAATTACAAGTGTTGGGAATGAAGGAGCTCTCAGTAAACATTAACAATCTTTAGGTGAATCATCCATTTGTAGTTATTGGCATGAGAAACACCTGCATTTTGGGTGCAGATTTCTTGAAATCTGGGCAGAGTGTGGTTGATGTAGCAAATGCTAAACTATCATGGCCCACAGGCCAGGTGGGCCTAACAGTCGAAGCAACTGCACCAACTGTAAATAAGTTAAGTGTTCTGTTAGAGAGTTACTCGGATGTTTTTGTAAGAGATCCGCATGACTCATTGGGACGGACCACTGAAGCGGAACACTGTGTGGACACCGGTGACAGTAGAACCGTGAAGGAACGACCTTATCGTATTCCAGTACACCTTAAGGGAGTCGTAGAGGGGATAATCCAACCCAGCGATAGTCCATGGTCATCGCCTATTGTACTTGCCCCCCAAACAGACAGTGATTACAGATTTGTGTCGATTTTCGTCGGGTCAACTCAGTGGCGAAGAAGGACGCCCACCCCATCCCACGCATTGATGATATTGTGGACCAGTTAGGGGGTGCTACGTATTTCAGCACCCTTGACCTCTTCACGCTTCAGGATATTGACGCTTCAGGATATTGGCAAGTTCCCTTGAAAAAGGAGGACAGGGAGAAAATAGCTTTTTCTGTGGGACCAAACCATTATGAGTTTACGATTATGCCCTTTGGCTTAACTAATGCCCCGGCAACTATCCAGCGCATGATGGGGAAGTTATTGAGAGGGATTAAAGGGTGCCTGGTTTTCCTTGATGATATTATTATTTTTGCGGACACATGGGAGGAACATCAGCACATTTTAGGCGAAGTCCTGAGCCGCATTAGATCAGCGGGTTTGAAGGTGAAACGTGAGAAGTGCCAATTTCGGCAAGCATCAGTTAAATTCCTGGGTCACATTATTTCTGCTGGTGGAACAGAGCCGGACCCTGTGAAAGTACAAGCCGTACAGAACTTTCCCACTCCAACTTGCCTTCTCGAGGTAAGGGGATTCATTGGTCTAGCATCATATTACAGATTGTTTGTTAGAAATTTCTCGGAAATAGCTTCACCCCTACATGTGTTAACCAAAGGAACCCACCAGGAATTTTGCTGGACACCTTCAGCTGACAATGCATTCCAAGAACTAAAGCGCCATCTATGTTCAGCGCCGATACTCTCCTTACCAGACTTCTTTGTACCTTTTGTTGTTTACAGGCGGATGCTAGCGACAATGGCCTGGGCGCTGTCCTTTCCCAGAAACGAGGAGGGGAAGAGAATGTGGTTGCGTATGCGAGTCGGACATTAACGGCTGCAGAACGGAATTACTCAACAACTGAAAAGGAATGCCTTGCTATAGTGTGGACTGTGAACTATTGGAGACCATATTTACTGAAAAAAAGCTTCGAGGTTATTACCGATCATCAATCGTTGACATGGTTGCAAGGTCTAAATGCACCGAAAGGTAGATTAGCACGTTGGATTGTGGCATTGCAGGAGATGAGTTCGTAATTACACAACGCCCAGGGCGTAACAATGGGAATACAGACACCCTTTCACGATTCTCGCAACCACTAACTACACAGGTAGTTGACGAGGGCCTGGATGAGGAAATACGGGTCGGGGTAGCAGCCACATATGTCTGTTCAACTTGGACGCCAGGGGATATCCGCACAGCGAAACAAGAGGATCCCGTCATTGTACAAGTCATAGAACAGTTAAGCAAAACTAAGGGAGAAGCAGGAAGTAGGAAAAGTGGAAGCAAAATGATGAGCTGAAACGTTATAGACAGTTATGGACGCAACTGATAATGCTGAACGGGATTCTACACCATCGTGTGGATCAAGGTACACACGAGGGCAGAACTGTCTTAGTGGTCCCTCGGAAAATGCGCACAGACCTGTTAAAACTTGCACATGGCGATCCTAGCTCAGGACACATGGGGATCAACCGTTGTGTGGAACGATTACAACAAAACTACTACTGGCCAGGTATAGCTTCAGAAGTTCAGTTGTGAGTGGCCGAATGTGAGCAGTGTAATCGCCGTAAGACACCTGCAGTAACCGCAAGGGCACCGATGAAGAGCATCGAAGTCGGAAAACCAATGGAACTGTGGGCAATGGATATCCTCGGTCCCCTCCCTATTACTGCTAGGTACTGCAGTATGTCTTGGTCATGTCCGACCATTTCAGTAAATGGTTAGAAGCAGTACCATTACCAAACCAGAGAGCAGAGAAGGTCGCAAGAGCATTTGTGGATGAGGTAATTGCTCGCCATGGCGTTCCAACCAAGTTGATAACGGATCAGGGACGGAACTTTGAGGCAGACTTTATGAAGAAGGTGTTTGAAATTCTGGGTGTAAAGAAGTTACGCACGTCACCTTACCATCACCAGACAGATGGTCAGGTAGAGAGACTAAACCGGACTTTGAAGGGGATACTTACAGCCTATGTTAATCAGGATCATAATGACTGGGATATCCACCTACCACTGGCTCTATTTGCCTACCGAAATAGCGTGCATGCATCTTCTGGAGTATCCCCATTCCGTGCAGTTTATGGTCGCGAGGCGACAACACCACTGACACTCTTAAGCTCGACGACGGAAACGAAGAAGCAACTAATTTCAAACTATAGTGATCAGTTAAAAAACACGCTGAAAGATGTGCATGACATAATTTCTTGCCGTATAAGTCTTGCCCAACAGAAGCAGAAGAAGAATTACGATCGGCAACACAAGACATACAAAAGTACTGAGTTAAAGGAGGGCGATCGGGTAGGGTTAAATAACCAAGCAGTCCCAAAAGGATTGAGCCCAAGTTTCATTTTCAGTGGGCTGGACCTTACGTGGTTCTAGATCGCCTGGGTAACTTGAATTATCACATTAAACTTGAATCTGGGGCTGGAAAAGGAAAAGTGGTACACCGAAACCGCCTTAAGTTGGACAAGAAACAATCAAGAGGTAATTGCATTGAAAGGTCGGACGAAAAACAGCCGGACGCAACTACGTACAAGCCTGGGGTTCTTCACCAAGAAATCCCGGCAGGTACGCTTGTAGAACAGGCCCCTTTACGTCGCTCAGCACGTAATCGCAGACAGCCTGAAAGATATCAAGACTATGACTTAATGGATGTTGAGATCGAGGACGCTGTCCGCTAAAGGAGAGAGTAATGTAATATGAATGAGTTTATATGCGTAGTAATATGAAGTAGCGTACATGAGATACAGACCGTGGGCTCAGGAACGTCGTTGTTGATCAGTGCTTTGTGTAAGAGATAAACTTGTAAAAAGAAATATAGATTAAAGGAGGGTTTATACGTCGTTGTATACTACACGTCTATATAGTGTCGACCTTGACATACATAACATTGCTTCGATTTGAATCGATCTTCTCCATGCTTTTCCATCACCATTTTCAGTCTTGGAGCCAAAGGTATTGACCCTGTGTGATCGGACGTTCTTGCGAATTTGGGCCCGTGAGCGCATTCGGGCAGTCATTTCTGCTTCCATCCAAGACAAAAGGTTATCCATTGATGGTTCACACTTTTGAGCATTAAGATAGCGCGCCCACACCCTCTTCGCTCATTTTTCTCTCTATCAGGGAGATCACATGCGTATTATCCATATCCTGGGGGCGCTCACCATAATTTTGGTCTAGGAACTTCCGTGCAGCGTTTAAATCAGAGCTTATTCCTTCGATCAATTTGGCAGGCTCAGAACTTAAACATGAACGTAGATCTGTCAATGTATCTCTTTCGGAATATTGCGCTTCGACAGCGTGTTTAAAATCTGACTTAAATATGAAATATTGTCGAACATCAACAGTAAACACAGGTAATTTGGCTTTTTCATGCTTAACAGTAAAGGGCTTGGCTGAACTCGGACTGTGTTGTATCATTTCAGGGTTTTGCATTGTGCTTGCGTGATTGTTCTCATTAGAAACAGTAGACTGTTCAATCAGATTGTTACTTCCTTGACTACCATTACTTTCCTCATTGTTCTCTTCACTCGATTCACCAACGACACTGTCACTGACATTCTGTTTACTTTTATCCTCATCTATTTTCTTAATATAATCATGATAACGCATAGTAAAGGCTACGTACTCACTTGTACAGACTTGTATCCATTTTTCAGCTTCTTCGAACTCTTCAACATCTACTAATCCTTCATGCATTCATCACTAATCCTTCATGCATGAGCCCTTTGTAATTCGTCAAAGGCTTGTTTTACTTCACTTTTCGAACAACATGCTTCAATCAGTTCATCTGTAACATTCGTTGCTCTCGTCAGAGCACCCTTTGCACCACGATGTGCATTCTTAGCTTTATTCTTAAGCTCTTTATCCATTTTACTTCAAAGACAAAGTTCGGTACATAGCACCATCAGCAAACATAAAAATTCTTCAGACAATGGACCGATGGCGCAGGCGACATTAGACAGCAATAACAACAATAACGTTTCCTTATTATTTAATTATAAAAACAAAAATATGCATAAAATATAATCTGAAGCTATATATAAGATAAAGAAAGAAAACAAAGAAGATTACGACTATGTTTACATTATAAGTGCGAAATTTTAGGTTACAGAATACACTTCTTCACACTTACATTTGTCCAAACCACTGTCACTTCGATAAACTTTATAAACCATAAACCAAGCTGAACTTTTCACGACTTAAAACATTAATATTTAGCGTTTCTTTACACTACTTTTAACGTACTTTGAACGTTCAACATGGCTTTTTCAATTCGCGCGCTTTTGTTTCAGTTCATCGCGGGCGACAACAAATATTTCACGTACGTCATGTTATTTTAGTCAAATCAACGTAACAGCAAGCTTAAGGACATACAGAGCATTATATCGACTGGATCCATTTATCGACAAGGAGGGACTCGTAAGAGTTGGCGGACGAATCAAACGCGCCGATGTCCCCTTTTACGTGAAACACCTCATAATCCTACCGAGAAAGGAACACATTACATCCCTCATAATCCAACATTACCATCAACGAGTCAACCATCAAGGCCGTGGAATCACCCTCAACGAGATTCGCGAGGACGGGTTTTGGATGAGTGGTGCAAGTTCCGCAGTGGCCCATCATATCACCGAATGTGTCACGTGTCGGAAGCTTTGTGGTACCGTATCAGAGCAGAAAATGGCCGAACTTCCCTACAATCGATTGGAACCTGCGCCACCGTTCACCTTCTGCGCCGTTGATTACTTTGGCCCGTGGCATATTAAAGAGAATCGGAAAGAGCTCCATCGGTACGGCGTATTGTTTACTTGCCTATCATCGCGGGCGATTCTGCGATTCATCTTCATATGGCGAAGTCGTTAGAGACGAATTCCTCAACTCGGACCCATTCGACAGCTCAGGTCAGACCAGGGTACAATTGTACAAGCCTAGCAGGTGCTCGACGCGAATTGAAAGATGCTTTGCAAGAAATGGATAAAGAGAAAGTGCGATCATTCCTGCCGGAAAAGAATGCGGCTGGTTCGATTTTTTAATGAATGCGCCCTCCAGCAGCCACATGGGTGGTGTATGGGAACGGCAGATAAGAACGGCGCGCGACGTTCTGGATGCCCTCCTCCTCGAAGCGGGAACTCAGTTGGATGAAGAGTCACTGCAAAGTTCATGTACGAGACAGAGGCTATTGTAAATAGTCGTCCCCTAACCGTGACTAATCTTGGTTCTCATACCGATGTTGAACCCTTAAGGTTACAGAACACCTTTGAGTGTTAATTTTGCCTAAATTTTTTTTATTGGTTTCCATGAAAGCATTAGACTAAAAGACGAAAAACATTTCGCTGCAATAAGAAAAACATTGAAAATGTAATATTCAAATTCCATTGTGATTTACCATTGTGATTTACCAATTACCATTGTGATTTAGCACAACGAGACGTTTGTTAATTTACGAGCTCCGTGAAATTTAAACTTCCTACACTAAACTTAGCGACTAAATACTCAGTAATATACCAATTTACTAGTATAACTGGTTAAGATTAGGAACGAACATATTGAAGACTTAAGAACGAAACTAATTGAATAAATCGAGCCAACAAAGCCGAACGACAATACAATGGCGACAGATGATGAAATCGGCAATCTTACAGCAAGTAATCTAGAATCAGAAGATCTAGAATTAGCAAAAGATTCCAGTGATCCCCACGATTACCTAAGCAGCGACGAGATCTATAATGAAGACGGTTTAATTGTAACAGACA